TTCAGGTATCAATGAACAAAGCAAAGTCATCCTCACTAATGTGCTCAATCCAGCGATGAATAAGCTTTTATTGTTCAGGTATCGATGAACTTGAATGGTTCAGGTATCAATGAACAAAGCAAAGTCATCCTCACTAATGTGCTCAATCCAGCGATGAATAAGCTTTTATGTTCAGGTATCGATGAACTTGAATGGTTCAGGTATCAATGAACAAAGCAAAGTCATCCTCACTAATGTGCTCAATCCAGCGATGAATAAGCTTTTATTGTTCAGGTATCGATGAACTTGAATGGTTCAGGTATCGATGAACAAAGCAAAGTCATCCTCACTAATGTGCTCAATCCAGCGATGAATAAGCTTTATTGTTCAGGTATCGATGAACTTGAATGGTTCAGGGATCATGAACAAAGCAAGTCATCCTCACTAATGTGCTCAATCAGCGATGAATAAGCTTTTATTGTTCAGTATCGATGAACTGAATGGTTCAGGATCATGAACAAAGCAAAGTCATCCTCACTAATGTGCTCAATCCAGCGATGAATAAGCTTTTATTGTTCAGGTATCGATGAACTTGAATGGTTCAGGTATCAATGAACAAAGCAAAGTCATCCTCACTAATGTGCTCAATCCAGCGATGAATAAGCTTTATTGTTCAGGTATCGATGAACTTGAATGGTTCAGGTATCGATGAACAAAGCAAGTCATCCTCACTAATGTGCTCAATCCAGCGATGAATAAGCTTTTATTGTTCAGGTATCGATGAACTTGAATGGTTCAGGTATCGATGAACAAAGCAAAGTCATCCTCACTAATGTGCTCAATCCAGCGATGAATAAGCTTTATTGTTCAGGTATCGATGAACTTGAATGGTTCAGGTATCAATGAACAAAGCAAAGTCATCCTCACTAATGTGCTCAATCCAGCGATGAATAAGCTTTTATTGTTCAGGTATCGATGAACTTGAATGGTTCAGGTATCATGAACAAAGCAAAGTCATCCTCACTAATGTGCTCAATCCAGCGATGAATAAGCTTTTATTGTTTCAGGTATCGATGAACTGAATGGTTCAGGTATCAATGAACAAAGCAAAGTCATCCTCACTAATGTGCTCAATCCAGCGATGAATAAGCTTTTATTGTTCAGGTATCGATGAACTTGAATGGTTCAGGTATCAATGAACAAAGCAAGTCATCCTCACTAATGTGCTCAATCCAGCGATGAATAAGCTTTATTGTTCAGGTATCGATGAACTTGAATGGTTCAGGTATCGATGAACAAAGCAAAGTCATCCTCACTAATGTGCTCAATCCAGCGATGAATAAGCTTTTATTGTTCAGGTATCGATGAACTGAATGGTTCAGGTATCAATGAACAAAGCAAAGTCATCCTCACTAATGTGCTCAATCCAGCGATGAATAAGCTTTTATTGTTCAGGTATCGATGAACTGAATGGTTCAGGTATCAATGAACAAAGCAAAGTCATCCTCACTAATGTGCTCAATCCAGCGATGAATAAGCTTTTATTGTTCAGGTATCGATGAACTTGAATGGTTCAGGTATCAATGAACAAAGCAAAGTCATCCTCACTAATGTGCTCAATCCAGCGATGAATAAGCTTTATTGTCAGGTATCGATGAACTTGAATGGTTCAGGTATCGATGAACAAAGCAAAGTCATCCTCACTAATGTGCTCAATCCAGCGATGAATAAGCTTTATTGTTCAGGTATCGATGAACTTGAATGGTTCAGGTATCAATGAACAAAGCAAAGTCATCCTCACTAATGTGCTCATCCAGCGATGAATAAGCTTTTATTGTTCAGGTATCGATGAACTTGAATGGTTCAGGTACAATGAACAAAGCAAAGTCATCCTCACTAATGTGCTCAATCCAGCGATGAATAAGCTTTTATTGTTCAGGTATCGATGAACTTGAATGGTCAGGTATCAAACAAAGCAAAGTCATCCTCACTAATGTGCTCAATCCAGCGATGATAAGCTTTATTGTTCAGGTATCGATGAACTGAATGGTTCAGGTAATGAACAAAGCAAAGTCATCCTCAAATGTGCTCAATCCAGCGATGAATAAGCTTTTATTGTTCAGGTATCGATGAACTTGAATGGTTCAGGTTATCATGAACAAAGCAAAGTCATCCTCAAATGTGCTCAATCCAGCGATGAATAAGCTTTATTGTTCAGGTATCGATGAACTGAATGGTTCAGGTATCAATGAACAAGCAAAGTCATCCTCACTAATGTGCTCAATCCAGCGATGAATAAGCTTTATTGTTCAGGTATCGATGAACTTGAATGGTTCAGGTATCCAATGAACAAGCAAAGTCACCTCACGAATGTGACTCAATCAGCGATGAATAAGCTTTATTGTTCAGGGATCGATGAACTTGAATGGTTTCAGGTATCAAGAACAAAGCAAGTCATCCTCAATAATGTGCTCAATCCAGCGATGAAAGCTTTTATGTTCAGGTATCGATGAACTTGAGTGGTTCAGGTATCAATGAACAAAGCAAAGTCATCCTCACGAATGTGCTCAATCCAGCGATGAATAAGCTTTTATTGTTCAGTATCGATGAACTTGAATGGTTCAGGTATCAAGAACAAAGCAAAGTCATCCTCACTAATGTGCTCAATCCAGCGATGAATAAGCTTTTATTGTTCAGGTATCGATGAACTTGAATGCTCCGATGCAGGGGCGCTCCATCTGTTGAGGAAAAAAATCTCTGCAATCAGCAGCCAGTTGCGGAATCAACGACAATTGTGACATATCCAAGGTAACTTGCGCTAGTCACAGTCTTGGTAAATACAACTGGTTAGTTTCTGTTTATTTTTAAATATCACTCATATGTTACGTGTAATACTTTTGAATACATAGCGTTTTGAAAATAAAAAATTCCTTTAATGTACCACGTACAACATCTTGAAAAGACTTTTAAAAGCCGAATGAAGCAAAGATAGACGTTCCTTATATAATAAAAGCCAGTCTTTTCTTTCTCATTTCAAGATTATAAGAAACAGTAGACAAAATATTGTTGTAGATGTTAATTTATAAGAAACATTTTCTTTTGAGGTAAAATAACCTGGAAAGTCTAACAGGATTATAAATGATGAAGGTAGCAATGATTGGTTATTCTTGTGATGAAAAATGACCATTTCACTTGTCGCAAAAGTTGATAATTTAATACGATCTATATTGACATAAATAAGAATTAAAGGTTTCATGATAAATATGCAGTAAGTTTTTGAACGGTTCTTGCAAAACATGACTATTTCGTGCAACTTGTTTCAAATGCTTTTTGACGTACAGTAAGTATTTTTATACAGTCTTTCCAAATAGCACGAAATGCTGCTTAAACTCGAGAAATTCGCGACTAGGCGAAGAAACACTGCATTTTATTACCCTGCTGTCAAACTGTATACAAACGTTTTCCCCTACACTTCTTTAAACACTTTCTAAATTCATCTGTTAAATTCATATTTTAATTTTATGTACATACAACACTTCACTCTTCTATTTGTGCACGGTCCTTGAATATGATTTCCAACTTTAAAATAAAGCACATCGGTTTATTTTTGTTGCATGGGAGTCATTCGTTTCGCAAGTATAAAATTTTCTTAAAGTATAGGGACAAAGCATACATGAAAATAAAAAAGTGACAAAAAATGAATACTTGCGTCTCTTAAAACATTTTTTAATTGGAAGTATATATGTACGACTAACAGTTACTAAAATACAGGCGTTGTACGGACTTCTGTGGACATGTGTACAGCATATAAAAATATAGATCAAAATTTTATTTTGTACATTTTTTCATACGTTTGGAAAATACTTCAGTACGCATTATCCCATCGACCATGAAAGTTGGAGACCATCGAACGATGAAAGCAAGCGGACATAATTCCAAAGCTGCGCCAGTCGCTCTTATGGAATTCTGAAGGAAGTGATGCCTCTTGAAGTTAATACCTTGAATCTGCTTTATTGGAGTATCCTGTATTAATAAAATTCGCAGTTTCATATATCGTGACTCCTTTTCGGATATGAATTCCTGGGGATTCAGGATTACTTGCCAGTGTGGTTTAACTTACATTGGTCAAACTAAGAGAGCCTTAAAATTTCGCGCTAAGGAACATGACACATATGTTAGAGAAAGGAAAACCTATAAATACTTTGTTATCCAATATTGTTGGTCAGAAAATCCCATTTTCCATTTTTTCTGCAGCCAAAATTATTCAAAAAACATCTTCTGTTGGCAAATTAGAGTCTTTAGAAGCGCTTCAAATTCGTAAAAATCTTTCAGCTTTAGTTAACCATTCCAATTCGGATACGTTTTTACACTCAGTTTTTCAGGAAATTATTAAATAGTTGTTTTCATTATTCATCACTAGATAGCGCCAGCAGCTTGACCTTCTCTCATTCTTATCGCCTAAGCAGAGGTTTCTTTTTCATAAACTACACCTTCTACAACTGAAGAAGAAGATTCTACATTTAAAACTTCGAGATTAGTCCTGCAAATTTATGAATATTACCATGATTCTTGTTGCTTTAATTCTTCCAATAATCGTCATTAGGGTTATTATTGAACTCATATTTGACGCCTCCATATTTAATCAACAATATTTATTCGATATGCTTCCTTTGCTTCGTAAAAAGGCTTTCGTTGATTCCTACTATTTTATTAGGTCCTGCGATTTTACTGAAAGCTCTGTTTAGAATGCTATGATGCTATGAGCACAATCCCACCCACAAGTAATTGCTGCAATATATTTTACTTTGTCGGCTATATTCAGTTGACCACACTGAGTACACACTTTTTTTAAGATTCCATAAATTTATTAAAAGTCATTGAAATATTGATAAATAATATTCAGTTTCTAATGATTAAACCCTAAATACATATTTCTGTGAAATATAAATTTTCACGTTTTAAAATTAGCTATATTTTACACATGAAGCACATATTTGTGAATATACGTTTGTTATTTACAGGATCAGTGAAGCTTATTAAGGCATGCGATACAGACAAATGCTTTGAAGGAGTAGATTTCGATGTAGAGAATTTGCCGAGTGAGGAAGAACTGAAAATTGTTTGCCCGTAAGTCCAAATTTTATTTATTAATATTTAAAGATTTCTGTTTAGGATCCGAGAACTATACATAACTATTAAACAATGAAGAATTTGTTTGCATGTTCCTCGCATTATGGATAAATGACGGTACCTAGAGCCACACAGTTTTGAACACACATAGACCTCTAACCGAACATGTGCATCTCGACGCACGAATTTAATTCGTGCGTCGAGATGGGCATGGAATTCTCAAAGCACGAATTTCGAATTTTTTTCTTTATTTACTTCCCATTTTTACGAATTTAATGACTAAACAACTCACAACTTGAAAGCGAGTTGTGGCAAATTGGTCGAAAGAAAACACTTTTATCTTCGGCTCACCAGACTGCTGCAATTCGGCATAATGAAAGATGTTCATTTATCTTTCAATTTTAACCAACTTTACTATTTAAAAGCAACGTGTAGCCATTGCCCGAAATAAAATATTTTTGTCTTCTACGAGGATTGTGTTGCCATTCATTAAAGAGTAAAATATTTAACTTTCAAACTTAATCCGTCTGTTATTGATTAACAAACCAGTGATTTAAAAGCAATCAACGTAGTTCTTAAGAATACTTTTTGTCTTTTTTAATCTTATGGACTCGTATAAAATTGCATTTAAATCGCGAGATGTCTAATTATAAGTATTTTTTTATAAATTTGCACTAATCATTAGAATCATTGTATAATTTTAACTTTCTACGCTAACTATTTTATACCGCTGGCCGCAAAAGCGGCTAGTACATAAAGTTAATTTTAATTTCCTTATCGTCCATGTGTATGAGAATCTCAAAAGACTGGAACAATAAACATGCTTTAAACTAGTGATCGTACGCTTGTTGCTTCAGTTTTAGAATGAATCAAAAGCAAGGAAATATTGTAATCATGTAAAATTTCGGTTTTCAGTTTTCGATGGAAAATTGACCTTTTCCGAATCCATTTTGACTATTTTATTACTTGACGTCTGTACGCACGGTCAGAACAAAGCATTCTTTATTCAGAATTAATTAACTGAAAAATATAATTAACTGAAAAAGGAATTTGTATCTGTGGAATTGAAATGGATTCAGGAACGTCAAAATTGATATTTTCGTTGAAAAATGACACCCGAAATTTTTCTCGATTACAATACTTCCTTTACTTTGTACAAGGAACTAAAAAAAGACAATTATTTCGGAATAAAATTTTCTTACAAAAGCTTATTATTTAAAATAAGAAGTACTGCCTGCTGCCGTTAAATTTTTTCTTCTTTAAATCATCGCAAATAAAGAAGCCTATGGGTTGAAGGATATGTTTCTGCGCTTTATAAAGAAAACCTTTTATTTTATAATTCAAAAAGGTTGTGAAATGCAAATTTTGAAGCGCAAAATAGGCATCATTATTAATTGGAGAGGGAAAAACCGTCAGTCATTACTTCTACCTGGAAAAAAGACTCCAAACAAATACCCGGAGAAGGTATGTACTATGCATAATGTTTCTAAAGTTAAACCGTTGGTAACAAGAAAAAACTCTGCCAACGAGGAAATCAATTCCAGGTACTGGCAGGCTTCAGTATAGTAGGTGTGTAAGCAATTCGTAATATTATTTTCTTTCATTAAAGGTTAAAAGTATTAATACTGTAATGAATTTTTCGTAGGATTACCATAATACTAATTTAAGTAAAAACACTTTATCAGAATATTAATAACGCAGTTTTAGAAAACTTATGAATTATTTGTGTAAAAATTCTTTCAGCATACCAAATGTAATACATTATAAGCTACAAAACACTAGTACGTCAGAAACAGTATCACTGAATGACATTTAAGGAAAACATCAACCATGATTTATTCTAATTTATTAACTAACTCTTCAGTGCAAATGGGTATGACATCAAAAGTCGCTGCTTTTGTAATTAAATATCTCGCTTCTATTTTATCGTACGAGACTCAAACCTTTTGAGTTTTGCTTTTTATAACGAGCGCGAAGACAAGAAAATCAAGGAAACGTATAAAAATTTCGTAATACTTACAAAATTAATGTCTTTAAATATAAAACTTCAAAACATGAATTTTTGCATAATTATAATTTTTTCTAGCTGTAAGTATATGTATTTATGTTATACTCAATCTGCTAGAGGAACCAGAGACAGATAGCGAGTTATTGATTTTCCTAAAATACACTTATAAAGGTATTAAACAACCTTTTATTGAATTTAAGACATTCATGACAATACAAACAATGCACGGTTCGTGCTACAGATAACAACTACTTGTGGCAATACAAATTAAGTAAGAACAGTCAAGTCTATTTAAACTTTGACCAGTAGTCTAAAACTATATAGTTAAATAGCAAGGTAAAAATTGGTTCAAATAATGCAAGGTGAAAAAATTTTAACACACCGGTTTATAGAGCACGCAATGCCGAGATATTTACATTCAGCTAGAGCTGGTAGAAATATAACAACGCAGCGCGAATCCCAGAAACTCTCTCTACCAGGATCCAAAGACTTTAGCTTAAATGCATTATAAACTGATTTGTATTCTAGTGAGGAATACGGTATGAAGAATTTAAAGTAAAGATCCAAATGATAATAACTGGCTATTTTAAAAAAAGAATCTTATATAACTCTACGACCAACAGTTTTGGGTAAGCACTTTCATTGATGCAATGTTACGCCATATCACATTAGATCTTATGTATTACTGAAAAATTCAAAACTAGAAATAAATCTGCACTAATTTCACTTTTTACTTGCCCTAGAAATTCAAGCAGCTCGGATAATTGAAATTGTAGGTATATTTCGAGGAGTTCTATCATTGAGAAAACTGTGCTCTGTTTAATGGTTCCAACTTGATTCAAGACTGTAAAGCGTATTATCAAAATCCAAATATTTTCTCTGTTCCTTTAATATAGTTGTATTCAAATTTAATTGATCGAGAACGTAAACTTGTATCAACTCAAAAACTCAAGCTCTGAAGACTTAACATTTTTCACGATTCTTATAATTTTTCACCAGTACTGGATTGTTTTCTAAGTGCATTTAAATTTCGATAATAAGGAGGCTAATTTTTAAGTTCTATTTATTATATTATTACATTGCTTTGTCATTAACATTAATTTTTTATTTCGTTTCAGTAAAATCTCAAAAGCCTTCGAATGCGCTGACGAAACAGTACATGCATGCACGGGATACAGATTGGATGAACTAGCAGAAACTTCATCGAATATTACTGCTGCTAAAGTAGCTTTTTTGATGGTTATTACACAAGACATGTTTGAAAGTGTGTGTTCTGAAGTTTCTGTCACACATAGAGGTAATTAAAGAGAAACGATTTCTTGTAAATAAAGTTAAATAAATGCTATGATAATATTGGATTTTCTGAGCTACATAAACGCATAAAATACTAAAATGGATAAAGAATATTGGATTTTCTCAAGTATCCGCCCGTTTTTTTAGTAATTTTATCGTCCGAATATCGAGAGTGGGCGAATTTATGCGAATCGTTGTACTTGCAAAAGACGCGGTTACGGTAAAAACATAAAAAATGAAAATTAGTAATGGATAGACTACGCGTAACTATCACAATATTAATTCTTTAAAAGAAAGCTACATTCCAATAAGAATACATAGTAATATTAACATTACAGGGTCTAATAAGATATTCTTCTTCCTTGTGAATTGAATCGTGCCCCTTCCTATTGTTGTCCCTGCCACTTCTTGTCCACTCCGTCTACAAATAATCAGAGAAACTCAACTTATAAGGTATTTCTCCCGCCTGCCTTCGTGGTGTAGTGGTGAGCACGCTCGACGCGAATTCGAGAGGTCCATGGTTCGAGTCCCGGCGAGGGCATTGTTCATTTTTCACATCTCCTGCTTCGAAATAACTTCTGTTCGAACTAAAAGAGATGGTGGATGACGATTCTCTACCACCTGGATTCTGTGATTGAGTCCCCTAATCACCAGTCATCCTTTAAAAGGAAAAGTATATAAGGTATTTCTCACGCCTTCTTAGCGTGCCTTCGTAGTGAGGTGGTCTGCACCCTCTATTCTTGAGGTCCGTGGTTCGAGTCTCGGTGAGGGCATTGCTCAATTTTCGTTTCTGCTGTTTTAAAAATACCTAATGTCTCTACAAGTGGCACCCGAACTAAAAGGGTGGTGGCTGATGATTCTCCTCACCCAGGATTTGGCGATTGAGTCCCCTAAAAATCCCAGTCGCCTTTTAAGAATATGCTAAGCTGAACGTCATTCCGATTTCGCTTCGCCTTGATTATTCGGTTATTGCATTAGGCTGGCGTAAAGTTCAAAAATTAGAAAAAAAAATATCGTCATCACTTTCGCAGGCAGTTTGTCGCGATTTCTCTCAGATGAAAACAACCAGTATGTTATACTACGTACTGTTTTTTAATTTAAACGAGCTCTTTCTCTGAACGCACTGAGAAAAGGTAAAACTGAGCAAACATTTTTTTTAATTTTCAAAATCTGGCGCCAAAGCTAGGGTAAAAATAGGCGAAGAAGTACGGTTATTTAAATTTTGTGTTCTGTTATATTTATTCTATTAAGTAACACTGGGATTATAAAGTAACTTATAACTGTTCTATTTTAAAGTAACTAATTTCTTATTCCCCAAAGAATAAGAAATGAATCATACCAAATACATTAATAACACTGAGGGATATATTTTTGAACCATAAAAAAGTAAGAAAAAATTGGTTTGAAATTCAGGTTAAATAAGGCGCATGAATTTAAGCTAGTACGTAAGTATTGGAAATAACAGTTACTTACATGCCAAGCACTTTATTTTGTGTCTTTAAAATAATTAGCATTCTATTGCATAAAATTTTCCATTGCATTTCTGTATATTTTGCAGGATATTGCTGAATAATTTCGCATTAATTCATCTGGATACTTTCTAATATCAAACGTTGGCAAAAAGCTAACTCACCTGGTAGCCAGAAATTAGCCCTCGTGGCTTCGCCAAATAAACCTAATCTGGACATGAAAAGGCCAATTTCTTCCGTTAATAAAAGAACTCTTTAAAGATGTACCCACGACCAAATGGACCTTTTTGCGGTTATCACCATTCTTAAAAATTTCTAACCGGAGAAGCCGTATACAGGGTGAATCTGAATAAGTGAGCAAAAGTTTAGGGGATGATAGAAGGAAGTTATACGAGCAATTCGTCACAGAATCTATGGTCGGAGCACAAGTGGTGAGAAGTTAAAGGTAGTTTTCCACTGTCACACTTAAAGAATTAACACAAGAATGAGAGGAGATACCTTAGGAAACATTTTATTAACAAGAATGCAACTGATGTACATTCTCAAAGAAATTGCTCGAAAGACCTTCCGCCAGCTATAATGCAGGCTTCACACCTGCCGGATAGAGACTGACTCACATTTGCGAAGATACCAGGCATTTCCCGAGTATCGCCGAGAACAGTGGCGGTCCTGACGACTAGATCCATATTAGTTTCAAAGGGGCAATTGTAGATTAGTCTTTTCATATGGCTTCACAGGAGAAAAAGTCCAAACACGCCAGTGATCTTGGTAGCTAAGCTTGGGACCACCTCGACCAATCCATCACCCTGGAATTTCAGTAGTTTGTATAACCAGCCATTCTCTCGACAATCCACAGTAGAAAATGCCGTTGGGTGCGAGGACCGACGCTTTTTATACCATTTACAATGCCACCTTGTAGCTCGCCGTTTGTTTTCCGACCATACATTCTATAACATCATACATTCTATGGCACGTATATCTGCCTTCTGTAACACCCTAAAACTTTACCCACTTGTTACGATTCCCCCTGTCTTAGTTGGTTATTTGAATACGGCAAAACTTTCGAGAGTTAGTTAACCATAGGGAGGAATGCCTTCGTTTATACCAGCAGTCTTCAAACTACGTTTCGTGGAACACGGGCTTTCCACGAATCAAACTCCAGGTTTCTGCGAGTCAAAATAAAAATTCAAAAAGAAAATTATGACGCATTCATACTAGTTGACTCGTGTTTATTAATTGAAAAATATGAAAATATATTTAGTTACTAGATTAATTTTAAAACTTAACGTGTGATCATCGTATGTGAAGCATAATGACGGACAATGTTTTCTGAAACTAAACTGTCCTATAATGGAAACGAATTGAATTTAGGCGACAATTACACAATGAAGCACCTTTTTTGGAATTGAAGAAAACTATAAAAGAATATTTCCCAAAAGAAAAATTTACGTATGACTGGATACAAAATCCATCCGAGTGCTACGATAAATCAGAAGGCTTGCCAATAAACGAAAGAAACAGTTTATTGACATATCAATAGATTCGACTTAAATTTAAGCAACAGAAGATCCTAAGTGATTGGTTGCAGATTTATACAGAATTCTCGCATAGCTATAAATCTTTTCAATTCCATTCTGAACAAGATGTTTAGGAGAAAAATTTTCTCAACGTATGTGGCAACAAAAAGGAAGTGTATTAAAAAATTAAATGCATAATATGAAATGATAATGCAGATAACATCAAAGAGTTAGACTTCAATAGTATGTGTAAACAAAATGCAAGCACACCCGTACCACTAAATGTAATGCGAGGGCAAGTGACCTGGAGAATTAGTTGATGCTATTGAGTTAATTATGTTAATTTCATGTTAAAATCTTTCAATAAAAATGCAGTATTTTTCTTCAATTCTCCTTACATAAAGTTATTTGCAACATACTCCTTTAAATATTATTTTAACTGTTTTTCTAGGAATGGGATGAGGTCTTACGAAAACAACTTATATTTTTAAGGGTTCCGTGAGTCGGAAACCACTTATATATACATGCGCCTAGAATATTTTCGCAATACCTTTAAATAAGTATATACATAATGTTCATAAAAGTCATTACTCGGCTTTTATTTTCACAACCGTTGGTCGTGGACATACAATTCCAATAATAAAACCATTTTAAATGACGCGAAGATTCCTGTTTTAGTATCTTATAAATTGTAATCAATCAATTTTGTAAAAATTATGAAATCAAAGTTTTTTACATTTCTCCGTTCTTTGTACTTATATTTAGGAAAATGTTATGCTCGTTATAGGAAGAAAAAAAAAAAAAAAAACACTTGTGACTTGCGCACGATAAAAATTGGCCGAACGGCTTGGTTTAAAATTCGGGAATCGTATTTAAGGGTTGTACACAAATTGAAGCGCGAAATATTTGCATTTATATGTAACTAAACATAAAATATCATTTAGAAAAAGGTTTTAAATGTTAAGAGATTATATGTCGAGCACTTCTACGCAGTAATAAAAACATTGATCAGCATAATTATTTTCAAAATGCAGATCTTATTCGCAGGTTATTTGAATGTTATTTACTAAATAGAATAATGCCTTCAGGGAAGACTTTTTGAGGGAAACTGGCTCGTATTAACATCACACACTGGAAAAACTATGAAAACCACTCACACGGCCGATAGTCTTACAGAATTCGTGTTCTAGAAAATATCGACCAGGTTTATTATTGGCACAATAGTCTATTGGTAATATTATCTGTGTCTAATAAAAATGAAAAATAATTGTACTTTAATGAAATTTTTATACGATTATATAAAAATTTAATTCTAATTATGATTCGAAAGTATTAAAACTTGAGAATTTTAATAACGAATGTTTAGACTTTGAAAACTTACGAATAAATTGTGTGAAATTTTTTAGCATACCAAATTCAACAAAATTGGAAATAGGGTCACTAGTAAGTTATAAATCCATTCCATTGAATAGCATTTAAGGAGGAAAAATCTATCTCGAGCTATCCTAATTAATTTATTAATCGACTCCGCAAGGTATTCAGCTTATAATATGATAATATTTGTTATTTATGTCTTAAATGTTAATGTTAAAATAATTTCTCACTATTCAATGTATGAGATGAGAGTTATTTTGTTAGATTATATAACTATGAAATAATTTATGTATAAGATTATATAAATGCTCTTTTTTTTTTTTTTTTTTTTTTTTTTTTTTTTTTTTTCATTTTAACGCACAGCTTACGTTGAAAGTCGACAATGCTACAATCAATACTTTTCGACTCCCAAAACCAAGTGTCTTGATGAAGCAAAAGCTGCTTATAGAGTTTACGAAGCAACTAAAGGCGATACATCCAAAGCAAAACAGTCTTGTGTGTAAGTTATCTTGAACATGTAAATCAGAATTTTAGTACATGTACGTTATTTCCAAGCGATAAAATTGCCGGCTTACATATTCAAATATTAAAATTTTTAGCACCAGATTCTCATTTTTTTGTCCATATCACTTTTCAAATAAAAGGATGTTGCCACCAAAATGATATCACCGTTAATAATAATAATAATAAATATAATATAAATAAATAAATAAAAGTAAATATATAAACAATATAAATAATTAATATTAATAATATTAAAAAATAAAATAATAATAATACAAACAAACAAAATATGCTAAACAATATAGCGAATATAAAAGAGTATGGTTAACATTTCATATTCTATTGGGAATTTTAAAGGCATATATATTTTTTTTAATATTTTGTTTGCCCGTCGAGTTTTATGGGGCATAATTTCAAAGAAAATGTTATTTAATAAATAAAGTTAGAAAGACTTAAAAATTGAATAATTTTGATGTTGCATTTTATATACTTAAGTGTAACTAAAGTGTCGCTTATAATAAAGTTAAAAAGACAAAGAAAGTTGTGTAGGTCATCCTTTCAAAAACAAACACTCAACATTTTTGTGATGAACTGAGAAAAGACAGAAAAAAATCTGAAAGAGGTCAGATTTTAAGATTCCCCAAAAGGGCTGTTTGAAAGTTTTGTGTGGTTTATCAGTAGAGATTAAGATAATCGATAGAGATGACTCAGATGGAATATTGAAATATTACATGAATATGCATTTAGACTAACATGGCAATGTTATATATCTTCTGCACGTTTAAAAAGTGAAAAAATATCTAATTTCACTCTATACAGATACTGAACATTTTTAATTAGATATATCATGAATGAAATGCATTTTTACTTAAACTAATATTCAAAAGTAAAAAAATACTAGACTTAAGAACTGCATGTATTGCTTTTAATGTTCATTAATAACAGGCAGATTGAATATGAAAGAATTATATCTTACTTTTTTCCAAATAGCAACATACTCGAATGATAAGTGAGCCAACGCAAAATTGTGTTCCTAAACTAACAGCTCTTTTCGGCCAATAAAAATGCTAAACATTTGATATGAAGACGAGACTGAAATGAATAGAAAAATATATGGCAACACAACACAACGACCTGTCTCCACAACGACGGGATAGGCACGACCCTGTGCCATTCCGTCATCCACATCGCTCAAGACCGGCACCACTGCAGGCGTTGACGTCTATGACGTGGGATTAATAGCAGTCTTAATATCGTCAAATTTTCTGAAATTTTCTAAAATCTAGCAACTATGAGCATTACCATTCTTCAAGCAATACTCGTAGCAATCCTTCGGTCAAACAACGTCGCCATTTTCGTATGTATTCTTTTTGTTGTATTTCATGTTCCAAAAGTCTTTATAAACAAATCGTAATATTTTTTGGCTTAATTATAAAATACGAGCTTCTGGAATTTGCCAGCAGTAGAAGAAACTATGTTTTCAGGAATACAAAATGTTTTCGCAAAATCTCTAAACGGAACAACGAGGAGATGCGTTTGGTAGACAGCCGCTGTTGCCGGGGTTTGCGGATATCGAGTCTTTGCAATTCTTCGATGATTTTTAAGAAGAAATAGATCTCTCTGTAGACTTTGAAAGGAGAATAGGCGAGGAAAATTGCAGAAAAATTTGCTTAAACATGTTCGTGTTTAATTTTTTTAATGTATCACATAATTCTTATTGACTAATTAAAATTTGTATTTTAAATTGCTAAAGCATATTGTAGTTTCGCATGTTGATAACGTTTGCCTATTTACAATAAATATCGACAGTTTAGGAATTAAAGAACTTCGTGACAACCATCAACTTGCAGCCGAAAAGTAACTTTTCCTTTTTAATCTGTAAACTGCCAAACTGCGCCGAGGTGGTTGCGTTAAAACGGGAGTAACGAACTGGAGCTTCTTTCATGATAGTATAGCAAGTCAAGAGGAATTGAGTCATACTCCTTCTTTATAAATCCGCCAATTACTATTTTTTTTCTTTTATTCTTCTTTGTTAATCGGAAACTGACGACGACCCTACTCGATATACGTGCTTAGCTACGGACATCGTCCGAGTGGTCACTTTACTGTTATGTGTCCCGTACATTCAAAGTGAACTTAATAGCAAAATAACGCAGGGGCTCTTTATCTGATAGCGGTTAATGGGAAATTTATTTCAGTTAAACAAAATGAATACTACTATTTTTCCTATTTGAATGTCATTTTTAAGTCAGAAAGCCTGTAACTGAAGAAAACATTTGCCTTGAAAAATACGAAATATTAATTATTTTACTGCAAATAGCATTTCAATGGATTAAAAAATATTTTACTCGGATAGGAAAAACTCTTTGAAAAATGTAACCTTTGTTTTTTTTTTTTTTTGTTTTCGTAGGCATCTTGTTTACGTATTGGTTTGTCTTTCTCATGAAATTCAAGAAGAATGCGGTGAAACAGCCAAATTCCTTTTCGAAACACTCATGACGAAGACCTTGATGTGGAGGCACATTGACTGTGGACTGGAGGACGTGGCAGAAATAAAAACGACGTTTCTCCAAACACTGGAGTTGGAAGGAGAACGTAAGGTTTTCTTCGAAAATGCTTTCTGGGAATTACTGAAGTAAAAATAACACTCTGCATCAAGTCTTTTCCTGACACCGTTATTACTTCAGTTTTTATCTGCAGGAAAACTGAAGCATATTTGTAAAATTACTGCTTCACGTTCTAGAAGTGTCTGAATAAGAAATAAATAATGTACCATTAAATATGAAACTGTGTGAATATAAATTTTATTACCTATACGTTGGGGTGTTTTAAAGTAATACAGACGTTTTACTTGTGCGAGGCAAACGAAGAATTGTAGTCACGAAAAATTTTGGTTATCATATTTCAACGGAAAAAAATCCATTTCACCGTTTCCGAATCCATTTTAACTATTCTTTTGCATGACATACGGACAGAATAAAAGACCCTTTATTCCAAAACGGATTAAAAATGGATTTTGTTTCGTGACGTCTGTATGTACGTATTTATCTCGCATAACTGAAAAAAGTTTAGCGTAAAACGTTGAAATTTTGTATATGGAACTGATATAACACCTACTTAATTGCACACCTCTCTTTTTTTATTGCAATCAGCAGTACCAAAAGCATATATAAAAACTAAACATACTATCCACCTCAGTAGTATATAAAAGTATACATATAAAAACAAACATAACTATTCCCATTACCCGGTCTTTATTTTCGCAATCGTTGGTCGAATATATATTTCAATTACAGAGTGTTGTAAATGACGAAAATATTCATATTTTAGCAATTTAAAAAATAATTTTGGACAAATAACAAAATCTAACTTTGAATGCGGGCTCCCGCTTCCTATACTTATATTTCTGAAAGTTTTATACCCGTTATGAAAAAATAAAAATACGAGACGTTGAATACTGGTACGACAAAAATGGACCGTAATATTTAATTTCAAAATTCGCAATTTTTGATGTCATTTTCAACTTGCTTTGGGGGTTTGGTTAGTTAATTTGGAATGATTCGAGGAAATAAATTTAAATGAAGTGCGACACAAATATGTCTAATTTACGTACGGTCCACATGAGTTTTTTTTTTTTTTCTTAAAAGGTTCTTGAAGTGCTATAGGCTATACATTTTTTATTTCTTCTATGTGGTGTCTGCTCTTTAATTACTTTTCAACAAGCAACGAATTCGGAAAATTTCCAGAGGCTCCGTGTTCCAGTAACACTGCTTTGTTACTTGGCATCGATAGTTTTAAAAAGATAAAATAATCGATAGTTTTAAAAAGATAAATAATAACTAAAACGATAACTCGTACGAAGACCAAGATTTAATGACATTCTAAAAGAATCGAAAGATAAACTAATGGTAACTGTAAACTTAGAAATGCACCAAACTCATGTTTAGCGTAGATTTAGTCAAAACTGAATCGGTTTCAAAGGCAAGTGAGTAGAGGTCCCTCTTCATCAGGAGCAAAGAAATCTGCAGCGAAGGGAAAGCAAAGGATGTACTCATACCCAAAGAGAGTAGAGCGAACAAGACGAAAACGTTACGTGTCGCCACACATAATAAAGAAAATGTAAAATTAAATTAATATAGTTAATAAGTTAATAGTTAAAAAAAAATAGAAAAAATCTATACTATTAAAATCTGTGCGCGTCTGTTTGTTTGTGGCATTATCTCCTCCGGAATGCGGGGAGGTGAGTTTCGAAAGAAGTTCCCCCCCCCCCTGTATCCCAAATATTCGTCGGAAGACATTTCGACCATTTTCATCTTCGTACGACTTTAACCGTTCGAGATATTAATTAAAAACTCTTAAAAAGCTCATTTTCGTCCTCATTTTCAAGAGTGGCAATAGTCTGGCACGCTAGAGTTAAAAACTGCGTTATTTCGAAAAGTGTTGCCACTGCTCGCTTCCAAATTGTAGAGTTTGTCAATAAAAATGAATACGTTTTACAAAATATGAAATAAAAATAGCACTGCCAAACATTATTTTTATTTTATTTGTATGAGGTCATGTTTTGAAGTTGAAGAAAGCACGCGATTTCATGTGATGCCATTGATGTCGGAAATTTTTTGTGTCAGCATTTTAAATAAATATCTGCTGTCGCCAATTTTTGTATTTCAGATTGGGATAATTGATACGGTATGTTATTGCCACATTAATTCTTTTATTGATATTCAGAAAAAGTCGTTATATTACATTAAACTTAAATCACGACGTCATACGTATACGTATTAATCTGAAAAGTTTTTGTTTCTTGGTTTGGCAACAAAAAATTATTTACACATTGGTTATTGCTTGGAAAGAATTAACTGACTTCGTTCATAATGAAATCTTTTCAGGTGTCCATAGAACTCATAAATTTTGCTTTGGTCGCAGCTAACAACTTTGTATGCAGTGCATTATATTAATAGTTCATTTTATTTTCAGTGTTTCAGTACATAGAATTTATAAATATTGCTTTGCCCATAGCCCACTCATCTGGCGGTCCTGCCCGTTAGTAAGTTATAAGATTGGAAAGTTAAGTTTTTTAGTTTTTCGTTGCAATTTTTCATTGCTTTCCCTTCGTTGCAGATTTTATTCTTTAAAGAGCAGGGACTTGTACCTGTTTGTATTTGAAATCGATAGAGTCTTGACTGAATTAACGCCAATGCTTTGCCTAATTTTATGGTTTACTTTAGCGTGTTTCTCTTAATTTTAATTGTATTAAACTTAACGTCTTAACCTCGTCTTAGTTAACTCGTCGCGAATTCATAATTGTTGAACCTAATCTTGTCCATTGAACTCAGACTGAAACTGCATGCGGACAATGTGCACAATCTAATCACGGCTGAAGAATCAGAATCTCTTTTCCTTTTTTAGACATAATATTAACCAAAATGTATTTAAAATTTTAAAGTTTCGATTATTAAATATTTAATAAACATGCATAAAAAGTATGAATAATATGGCAAAGAACAAGAATTCAAATTTCTATATATTTTCTATCTGAAATATAAAAGCCTTGTACCTGTAAGACATTTCCCTTGCTTTATAATTCAATTATATTTACAACTAAATATTAAATTATTTAAAATAAGTATTTTCTTTGAAATAATTCTAACGTGTTTAATTAATCATTAAGCAAATTACTTTATTTAAACTAAAAATAAAAAATTATAATTATATTAAACTAAAAATTAAACTTTTTAAGCTTTTGGAGAAAATTTACCAAGTTGGACAAAAAATTTTAGAATTAGTAGTAACAATTTAGTCTCTTTCTCCTCATTTATTAAATTCTTCGATGCATATATACTAAAGTACAAAATATGTAAATAATTGCATAAACTTCTTTATTTCTTAATTGCCACTTGATTTGCCTTTCGTTAAACATTTTTTGTAAATTTAATATGAGATGTTTCTCGTGCATAAAGAAATATAAAAAAAAGTTTCGACCTCGTTTTTCAAAAAAAAAAAAAAAAAAATACATAAAGGTTAAATCGGTATTGAAGAAACTCCAGGTGAGTTGCAGGAAAAGCCATTACATAATAAGGTATTTCTCTCACCTTCTTAGCGTGCCTTCGTAGTGTGGTGGTCTGCACGCTGGGCGCGTATTCCAGAGGTTCGTAGATCGATTCCCGGCGAAGGCGTTGCTCATTTTTCACTTATCCTGCTTCCAAAAAATACCTAATATCTCTACAAGTGGCGCCCGAATTAAGAGGGTAGTGATGATGATTCTCCCCACCCAGGATTTGGGGACTGGGTCACTTAAAAAAACCTCAGTCGCCTTTTAAAAGGGGGAGTATATAAGGTATTTCTCCCGCCTTCTTAGCATACCTTCGTGGTGTGGTAGTCTGCACGCTGGGCGCGTATTCCAGAGGTCCGAGGTTCGATTCCTATCGAAGACCTTGCTCATTTTTCACTTAACCTGCTTCCAAAAAATACCTAATGTCTCTACAACATAATTCAAAATTTACGGTAATGATGTGCACTTTTCTCATCTGTCATTATTGGATCATATTTTTTCCAAGAAGACAGAGGAAAAACCAGAACTGTTAACGCAGACTAATATATACAGATGGTCAGAACATTTGTGATGTAACAGCTCCCTATGTTTCCAGAAATTATACTTTTTCGAGCAGGATGGGCCACAATTCATACTGCTCGTGCGTCCATGGCTGCTTTAAGAAAACTCTTCCCGGACAGACTCATACCAAACATGGCGATATCTCGTTACCTGCAAGATCCCAGATTTGTCCTAATGCGACTTTTGGGATTTCGGAAAAACAAGATGTAAATTGACAGACCGATACCATACCGGAATTAACAATGAATATCAGCCTAGAAATCACACAGAAACAACTTGAACTACTTCATCGAGTGATGAAAAATTCTCGGTAAGGGTTAGAAGAATGTTTACACAGAAATGGCTCTCACGTTATTTTTTTTTTTAAAGTAAAATAGTATATGCACAAACCTGATTCTATGAATGCAAAGAAAACTGGTTTATGACTGTCGTAGTATTTTCATATAACTGGAAAGTAAAAATAAGAGTAGGAAAAAATGTTAATGTCAATAAAATCAACTCAATGTACTACAAAGAAAAAGTTTTATGTCCGATATTTACAAAACAAATTTCATTTTATCATCCCAATGACTTTTAAAGAGTGAAACTTCATCAAAACAAAGAAACCATACTTCGAAAAATAACTCTGCATTCCTTGAAAAAAATTAAGAATGAGAGGTATTGCTTATATACATTTTTATCGTAGTCTTGCAAAGCCCTCTGACTTTTCACCCATGGAGTGTTGTGCTTTGGTCTCTCGGAAAGAGCTCTTTCTAAGCACAAACCCACCCCAACTGATGGTGTTTGGAAAGTAGTGGAAGGGAAATAGAAATCGATATCTCTGAAAATTTTACGAAAAGCTCTTCTGTCATGGAAATTACGATGCAACCTAGTTATGAGATTAAACACTTAAAAATACTCTTTACATTTTAAATACTAATTAAACAGTTCCGAAATCGTTAAACGATGTGCAAAATATCCATAAATGTTCCCATCCACAAAAATCCTTACCTGACGTTTATTGTCGCAATTTTGGGCTTAATCACATATACCTCCAATTCAAAAAATGTTCAAAAGACGCAAATATTCATATTTCGTATTTTAACTTAAAAACAAAATTGTACAAAATAGCAAATCTAACGCTTTACATGTTATTCAGGTTCATGTAATTGTATTTAAAAAAACCTTTATAAAAAAT